GAGCTGTGTGCGCTCATGCAACAAGGTATGCTTCGGGCGAATTTTGGCGGTTGATTTGTTAAGTTTTTATTTTTCTCGTCTTTATTTTTTCAGATCTTTCGTCAGATTTTTTTTCCGTTTTTTCCAATCATTTCTGACATGATTTTGACCGTTAATATCAACTCCTCCGCATTTTAAGGAGTTAAATCGAGCGCAGACTTAACTCGCACTAGTCTGCACTAGATAATTCGTTTAAAAAACATGATGGTCTAATTTTGATAATCCAATTTTATCACAAACTGCATCCCAGTGGTAACTAAATTTTTGTTTTCACCCTAACTTCATTTAACTTTTGCTGATAATGCCATTTTTGTTGAACAGGAATTCATGGGTGATGGGTGGTGTGATTTCCAAAACAATCGTGGATATTGCGGATGGGATGGAGGTGATTGTTGTGCCAGTACGGTACGTGGTGGACGTGTACGTTTGATGTTCCCATCGCTATGTACTTCACTATTATGTCAGTGCATCGATCCATTCGCCGTTGAAAACTCAGTGCTAAGCACCAATACAGAAAGCAGTAGCAGGTATGAATCGATTTCAGCCTATAGTTTTTCTTTTCATTTGTCTCAGTATCTGTTAAAGTTGTCTTAGAAAGAACACATTTTTGTGACTTTTACGAAAAATTTCTAAATCTATTGCCAAGATTTTAGTTTTATTCTTGTTTGTGGACAGCAAATTTTTACCGTGATGATATAATGCTCAAATTATTTCTGTATTTTGAATTGGGTTGGTCAAGAAAAGCCTGCATTGAGATAATGGCTTTTCCGCTGCAAATATCATTTAAATTTTCGTTTGTCCATTTGCGCACACATAAAGTTGGGTAAATATGGCGAGCTCAGAACCAGACAGAACCGCATGCTGAATAACCTAAATTGAGTGTGGATGTTACTGGGAATACCAGGAGTAGCTGTTAATTCGTGATATTGTTCGTCTATATCTGGCAACTTTTTCACTTCCATAGTGGTAGCTCACTCCAAAAATTTATACTTGTTTTTGAATTGAGGGCGATACGCCGGCCATTATTCGTTTCGTTGACGAGCGCGGCTCGTCAGTTTCCAATCTTCCGAATACCTTCAAACGCAAACTTGGGTAATGTAACTTTTATCAATAAATGATAAAAATAACGAGCGCTAAATGCAAAATATTAAACGAATTATTTGCAATATTTTACTACTATATAAAAAAAGTGTGACACAGTAATAATGTAAAACCTAGTAGAATGCGTACCGACTGCCGGTACGAGGATGCGTTTTTTGCGCAGTTCTCCCCGCAGGCTTTTTTCGCCAGCGGCACGTTCTTTCTGGCAGATGCTTCTAGCTAAAAGAGTTGGGACTGGCCACAACAATTGTTAGAAATTATTAAAATGACTCCCAATCCATGCCCAGAAGATCCAGTGCTCTAGATGCTTCGGCTGCACAGTTATGTCAAACTTTACGTGTTCGTACGTGAGTGGCTACGTGAATGCTCTCTTCGCCCGCAGTTGCTCAAACATGGTCCTGGGTACGCTCAGAAAGTATCAGCACTCCAGCTACTCTGGTCGCGGAGTTACGTCAAATTTCACGTGTTCGCACGTGAATGGCAACGTGAGTGCTTTCTTCGCTCGTAGTTGCTGAAGCACGGTCCTGGGTAGCACTCAGAAAGTTTCAGCACTCCAGCTGCTCTGGTTGCAGAGTTACGTCAA